CTTTTTGTCCTCCCTGTACTCCCTTCTTCATTGATAATCATCATTCTGATGTCTGTAACTATGAGTTTGTTTAGTTTCATTATTTGGTTTGTTCCTTTTTTGTTTTATATTCCAGTTGAGTGAGATTATAGTTTGTTTTTGTTCCTTTCCGTATGATTTATTTCAGTTAGCACAATACCATCAAGATCCATTCATGTTGTTGCAAATGACAGTATTTCATCTATCGTTGAGTAGTATTCCATTAAATTTATTTATTTATTTAATTATTTATTCATTCATTCATTCATTCATTTATTTATTTATTTATCCATCCATTAATAGATGCATAGCTTTTTCCATACCTTGGGTATTATGACTAACTAGAGGCCCAGTGCATGGATTCATGAACATGGAAAAGGAATTAATTAGAAGGTGGTTGGCAGGGCAGGACTGGGTGAGACAGGCTGGACACACCCTGGAGCCAATCTCCCACGGTCCCTCCCTTGCCAGTCGCACCTGGGGCAGCACCAGGGCTCAAAGGGAGTCTGCAGAGTGAGCGGGGTCCCTCTCACAGGTGGGGTTCCCTCAGGCTGGCCTGCGGGGATTGGGCTGAAATCAGCAGTCCAACATTCCCTGAGGGGTCCTGGAGTGCAAGAGGGCAATCTACAAAGTTGCTGTTGCTCGGCAGCTCCTGCATTGAGCATCTGCTCCCTGGTGGTCAGTGTGCGTCATAGCTACCAATTGGAGCATCTGCCCCCTGGTGGTCATTGCGTGTCATAGCTACCAGTCAAATGGTCAAATGGTCAGGCAGTTGCTTAGGCTTTTATATAGATAGATGTTGCAATGAACATAGGGGTACATATATACTTTTCAATTAGTGTTTTCATATTCTTTGAGTAAATACCTAGAAGAGGAATTGCTGAATTATATGGTAGTTCTATTCTTAATTTTGAAAAGACCCTCCATACTGTTTTTCATAGTGTTTGAACCAGTTTACATTCCTACCAATAGCGTATAAGGGTCCCTAGTCTCCATATCCTCTTCAACACTTGTTATTTATTTTTTATGATAGTCATTCAAACAGATGGGAGCTGATATCTCATTGTGGTTTTGATTTGCATTTCCCAAATAATTAGTGATACTGAACATCTTTTCATATACCTGTTGGCCATCTGTATACCTTCTTTGGAAGACTGTCTATTCAGATCCTCTGTCCATTTTTCTAATCAGATTTTTTTTATATTGTTGAGTTGTATGAGTTTTTTATATATTTTGGAAATTAACTACTTATGAAATATATAATTTTCAAATGTCTCCTACCTTTTGGTTTATTGTTTTTCTGTTTTGTTGATGGCTTACTCTGAAGTGCAGAAGATTTTTAGCTTGATATAGTCCCATTATTTATTTTTATTTTGTTTCCATTGCCTTTGGAGTCAAATTCACAAAAATACCACTGAGACCAATTTCCAGAAAATTAGTGCCTAAGTTCCCTTCTATATATTTTGTTGTTTTAGGTTTTACAATCAAGTCTTTAATCTATTTTTGTGTTAATTTTTCTGTTGGGTGTAAGATAATGGTCTAGTTTCATTATTTTGCATATGTCTGTCCAGTTTTCCCATCATCATTTATTCAAGAGACTTTCTTTTCTCCATTGTATATTCTCAGCTTATTTGTTGTAAACTAGTTGCCTATGTATGTGTTTGCTTTTTCAAGGCTTTCAATTTCAACAGTGATTACTCTGAATATTATATCACACAAAAAATGTTTTAGTACCCATCTGAGATCTAAGTCACTCTAATTTAGATCATCATGTCAAATAACTTTCAAAGTTTGTGTTATCCAATTACAGTCAGGGATTTCATAAATACACAGAGAAATAAGGACTCTATCATCTTCTGAGAAGATTCTCACTAGATGCTACTCACTCAGAATGACCTACAAGACACTAAGTCAGAACAGCCTTTACTTTGCTACCAGTATGGGCCAATATAGGTCATATCTGTGGGGATTACTAATTAACTCAGAATTATATTTATGTGAACTCAGAGAATCATTTCTAAAACAGAAAGATGAAAAAACTCCCAATGATGTGGTGGCAAATATCTGCCAAAACATCTAACTTTATAGAAGGGAAGCTTTTTAATTTTCTATTTAATGGACTGAATGAGAACCACACCTAAAAAGACTTCAAAAGCTGAGCATCCTCCTCTAGATCCCTTCTTACTCAATACACAACAAGAATTGTTTCTATTCTTTAAAGGAGAAATTACTGAAGCTTAGCAGAACATCTACCTGCTATTGGCTGGTAATAACCTAGACTCTGGCCCATACAATCTTATTTAGAAAAAAAAAAAGAATAATAAAAAGGATATTTAAGTCATAAGTTATTTATGAAAACCATGAAGTGCTTCTACTCAGTGTTAGATTCACAGTTTCCAAATAAACTAATAATATTTTTTCATGTTGTTAATTAAGGGGATTTTGCATTTTTATTCTCATTAACATTGTGAATCATGTCACTTAATGAACAAAATAAAATATTTCATTGCTTATTAGTAAGGAAAAGCCTCATCCTCCCAGTGATTGCCTGTACTGTGTATTTTCCTTTTCTGTCTTTCTTCTTCTTTTTTTAATCTTTTTGGTAAGTATGTTTGTACATGTCTTCACCTCACCTGTTAGAGTTAATGAATTGCATCATTTTCCCCTTTCATAAGATTTGTATCAGCCAGCTGAACACCTGCACAACACTATTTGATTTAACGTTGAAAGGGGAAGCCAGGCACATTTGAACAAATCTGCTGAGATCTATTTTTGTCTCACCTATTTGAACCTACCACATGAGAACTTGAAGCTAACTATAGACCAGGAGAAAATTTTTGTATCAATGTTCAAAGAAAAAGGAAGAAGGGGAGGGAGGGGAGGGAGGGAGGAAGAAGGAGAAGAAAATGTTCCAAAATTACTCACCAAAGGCTAAAATAATCCCAAGGTGGCAAAATAAACCAAATTCTAATAAAATTTAAGAGATTTATTAAGTCAATAATTTGATCTCATTTATTCACGGATTCTTTTTCTTTTCTTGAAGAATATAAAACCTATAGATTCCAGACCATTTAATATTCCATATTCTTTTCCAGGGAGAACCCCATAAAATGAAATTAATGTGTGATAAGATATTTTTCTTACTTTAATAGTTTCTAGAAAGTAGGAACAATAGAACATTTATACTAAAGTTGGTTAAATAAAAGTGTTACACTTGTAAGTCTGTCAATTAAATTTGTTCAAACTGATTCAACTCCCATTAGTCTAAGTGTTCAAAAGAATTGTCCTGTGCAGATCTTCTCAACTCCTCAGCGAATGAAATAAAATAGAAAAAAAAAACTTTTGCTTTTATTATCTATTAAAAACTTCTAGTAGGAAAGAAGTATCACATTAAACATATAAAAATATTTCTACACTGTCTACTTTATTTTTGATCATCGTAATGATTACCCACCATTATATTATATTTTGATTTATGTTATAGTTTGTCTATTCAAATACAATAGAAGATACATGAGTGCAGAGTACTTTGTTTATTTTGCTCCCTGATGTATACTCCAAATTGAGAACAGAGGCTGGCCCATAAACGTTGTTATTAAACATTTGTTACCTGAATTCATGAGAGACAGAGACAATAGAGACAAGACCATAAAAGCTGACAATAAGAAGAAACATAGTTGAAAGATTGACCACAATATTACATAGAAAAAATCCTTATAAATTTCAGTTTAGGAATATTTCCTGTTTCTTTGCAGAGACCCCCTGAAGTGAAATGATAGGATGGCATTGTTAGCCTTGGGTCTTGCAAAGGTAATCAATTAATATGCAGGAGTCCTGGTCAGTTTCAGCTACCACTGATTATTAACACTAGCCTCTTTTCTCCTCAGGGGACTCCCCACCCCTACATTTTCCATTTATAGACATTTCCTCAGTTTGGTACATATTAAAAGTAATTATCACGTACTGTTCTTTTATTGCTGAGCCCTTATCTAGGTCCTTCATGGATGGTGCATTCAAAGAAGCTCATTGATTTTTCCCACCACAGGACTTATGTGTTTATGCTGTACTCCATTGTTATAAACTAGATCTATATATCTTGACCATTATAGAATATTAATAATCATAGAATCCTAAACTCCAAATGGAAAATGGTTTCATTTCAAAAAATGGTGGCAGTTCTATGGAACATATGACTAAATAACCTAAATTCTGTCCAGAAAAAAAATGTATAACAGAAACTTAAACTTCCACACCTTCCTTTCTAATATTCCTTCTAAATATTAATATTGTTTGCTAACAGAGAACATGAATTTTAAACAAAGTCATCTACTATTATAACCCAAACTCAAGATAAATAAAAGTGGTTTCAAATTGATATCAGTTTCATAAATATGAGCCTGATAAACTTCAAAGTATGTAATCTTTGATTATGTATGTACACTTTTTAGATATTTATTTCCAAACTGACACTTTCTTTTTACTGCTGAAATTCTCCTATAAGATTATTGTTAATTTTTTATAGATATCAAAATATTTAACTTGGCTCATAGTAGTCTATACATAGTTTATGTAGAACTCTACATAGTCTGTACTCTACTGGCATCTCATCTCACACCTGTATCTTGCTTCCTATGTTCTAACTATTTAGAGTTATAGATCTCAAATCATAATCCCTGATAATACATGATCTTTGGATTTGATATTCTTTTTGCCAAGGAGCCTTCCTATTTATTTTCTATTTAACTCATTCTTTCAGGTTTACAACACTTAAACTAATATGTCTGCCCTTTAAAGTATTTATTAAAGTTGGGTATATGTATATTGAAAGGGCGAGGACTACGCCCTCCATCTTACCCTGTGTCCTCCATTTTGGGGCAGCCATGTGCTTGGCAAGGAGCTTCTTCCTGGAAGTCTAAGCCTCTGCTAGCCACACCCAGGAACAAGACACCAACTTGCCCCTGGCCAATCGGCAGGGCCCACAGTCCTCTCTCCTCCCCTTACTATAAAACCTCTCTCCCGCGCTCTCTCGCTCTCTCTCTGCCACTTGGCTTACCGTTGCATCGGTGAGTGTGGTCGGGGAGCCGAACTAGTTCGAATAAAAGACTCTCTGCTTTTGCATCGGACTCGGCTAGCTCCCTGGTATGGTCTAATGGGGATCTTGAAATCTGGGCATAACATATATACTTTTATTAAATATAAAATGTATATATCAAAACTAATTTGCTTAGTAATATTCTATTGAGTATCCTATATTTGCCAAGCACAATGTTAGATGTAAAGATACAATGATGACACAAAAAAGCCTGATATCTATTATGATGGTTATGTAGTAGGATCAAAAAGGATTTTTCCGAAGTTTTACTTTATAAAATTTGAATTGGGAAAATTACAGATTGCTTCTCTTTGGAACACAGCTGTACTGTGGCTGCCTATATACAGAAAATTCTCCTTAATTGAGGTAATTGGTAAACAAATTTATAAATTTACAAAATTTACAAATGTTTGAATGATGCACCATGGGTTAAGCATAGAAATGGGAGTGTAATCATATGAAAAATTTTGGGATTCAAAGATAAGATATACAGTTTCACTTTCATTTCTAATATATTTTAAGTATTCATCTATGTTAAAGTCACTAAATCATTGTGTACATAAGTAAAGTGGGATTATTATGCTCACTTAAGAAGATTATTTTCAGTCATTTCCCAGATGTATATTCAACATCTACTATGTTCAAACACTGTTCTTAGAAGTAACAAAAAAAGGAGACAAAAAATTTTGGCTCTCAAGGAATTTTCATTATTGCTATGAGTGGCAAAATTGGGAAATATACAAAAGTAATGCCCGAATGGTAAAATATTATATAAATAGTAGATTTATTTTCTTAAGTAGGTATCATTAACATATAGAGGATTATTGCTAATGCTAATTTTGTGATTCATATTTATATACTACACATCCTGTCATTGTCACATTAAAAAAAAAAAGTCCCTGTTATTTATTAAATGTACAACTTGCCGGGGTCCAGCCCCAGCGGTCCAGGGGTTCCCAAAGGTATGGACGGAGTCGGCGAAGAATGATTTACATGGAGACAGCGTTCAGATGATCAGCATAGCTCTCTTTAGTCTCCGTGGATCTTCCTGTACCTGGCTGAGGCCACAGAGAAAGATCCAGAGGCAAGCTGAGCCTTTATTTTATAGTCAGAGGTAAACAAGGTAGTGGTTACTATAGTTACACTGTTCTTGTGAGTTTCACTTGTTTTGGCCACTTCCTGCACTTCCCTCAGCCCATTAACTTCCCAGATAAGATCTAGGGAGCATTATAAGGTCAAGCCTAATTATGCTAAGAGGACTGTGCCCTCTAAGCTGGGACTTGTTTGTGACTTTGCCAACAGGTCAGTCTGAGGCTTAACCCTATAACGGCGCCCCACAACAACTAATACTTAACATATTCTGGGAACTATGATAAGTGCTTTGCCTATAGTGCTTTATTTATTTTTCACAATTAAATAATGGGATACCTAGTATTATGAGTCTCATTTCACATATAAGGAAGTTAGAGTAATTAGCAATAAAATTGTCTTTTCAAGAAAAATCAACAAAGAAATATTTCTCATACAATATTAATCCAGTTCTTGCTCTATTAACCTACATGCTAGGTATCCTCATAATGCTTGTCAATGTTAATATATAGTATTCATACTATATAATATTATTGATAATTATATTACTCACAATTATTTATATTTATATAAGGGGCTAGTAATCTTTCAGTAAAGAACTACGTACGGCCTTTGTCACATGTTTCTCTTTGCTGAAGGACACACAAAATCAGCTCAGGCATTTCATTTATGGGTCATAATTTAAAGACTATAATTAATGCTAATGAAACGTATTTTTTATTGGAAGTTAGCTGCTATTTTTACAATACTTCTCAATGTGTAAAAATGTATTATGCAATATAATGTAAATAATCTAATTACTTTCTTCTCTTTCTAGAAATATTTTGACTCTGGGTAGTGAGCACACAATGCAATAAAAACATGATGTATCATTGAATTGCACACTCCAAAACCTATATAATTTTGTTAACCAATGATACTCACAATTAAAATATTATTGTTATTATTTGATTCATTGAATAAATAAATAAAATAATTTTGAGACTATTTAAGAATAACCTTTCTAAAATTTTAGTACTTTTTGTATAAAAAATAATTTTCCCAGTTAAAAAAACTTCAAATTTTGTATTATTTTGTAAATTAAAAAAAGAAAACATTAACTAGAGTTAGATTTTTATTTGAAGTACACACAAAACAATTATTGTATTGTTTTGGATTTTACTTTCATAATGAATACATAGTAATTCTCAACACTTGAAAAAGAAGAAAAAAGTTGCCCATATTACAAATTTATTTTATCTAGATTCTGTGCCATCTAAATTTAAAGATTAATGATGATGATCATGATGTTGATGATAATAATAGCTTTTGCCTAGAATGTTAAAAGTTGGAAAGGACATCGATCTCAGCCTAACAATGAGTAAACTTTATATAAACAATGAAAGCGTAACTTTCTTAAACCCACCAGAGAGCCAAGATTGCAACAAAAAAGAGGCCGTACCCCACTTCCCAAGGTGAGAAGGCATATGCAGGTTGTCATACCTTTGCAGAACATGGGAGAAAGCAGATCCACTGTCACACAAGTAAGTAGAAATTAGATAAAATATTAACAAGTTGGTAAAAGCAAAATGTCCCTAGTGTGGAAATACTCTGGGCTGTGGTGGGGGATTGACACAAGAGGAGTTCACACTCTCTAGTAGGCTCCTTTCCAAGATCTACACCAGGTCTGGAGGAAAAACAAAAACAAAAAACATTACATTAGAGATATTCTACTTGGAGGGTTGAGGCATGGTGGCAGTTATTGATGCAAAGTATATGAATTCCTGCTTTGATGCCCAGGTTCTTCTCTCAAATGAGCTAAAGCCATTCTCCACTGGGGAAGGGGCAGCAAACCCTATCACATATCACTCCCAGGAATCAGATAAATACCCATGTTTTGGGGAGAAAAGAAAAAAAATCCAGTAAAATTGGCATGGGGAAGGAAACAGTACTGGGCGCTTAGGTCCTATGCTAATATTACTGGAGTTCTCCTCCCTTTGTGAGAGAGGCAGGACAATCTCTTTTGCATAAGACCCACCACAGTTACAAGGCAGGAAATATCTTCCATTATGGAAAGGGATAACATCAATGAGAAAAACCCACTAAAGCTGAGAAACAAGTCTTAGGTAGGTAGGACCAAATGCTCATCATTAATTATTAAGGAAATGTAGATTAAATGTAGCCTAATTTAAAAGTGATCAAAGGAGTTGAATAAATACGTCACTGAAGAAGACAGATTACATATATACTCAGGAACAAATGCTCAATATCATTAGTTATTAAGAAAATGTAGACTAAAACCCCACAGATTTAACTTTACATACCTATTATAACTGTCAATTAAAAAAATAACTTTTGGTTAAGATGAGCAACAACTGGAACTCTCATTGTTGCTAGTGGGAGTTCAAAATGGTGTAACTACTTTGGAAAACAGTTGAACAATTTCTTAACTAGAATATAGATACTTACAAGATACTCCAGTAAACCCACTCCTATGTTAAATATTAATCAAACATGTATCAATATTGTCCACACATAATCCTTTACTTGAATATCGATAGTGTTACAGAATTTACCAGGCGACCAAAGAACACACAGGAGTACTTGGAGATACAGGAAAAACCCATTTATTTTCAGATGTTTCACATGTACAAGTACAATGACTCAGGGGAGACTGTTTATCTCCAAATCCTGAGCAAGCCAATATGGAGAAAGCTTTCCCTTTATAACTGGTTTCTTTGTCCCCCAAATATGGGATGGGACTTCCGGACCTTGTGCAGGCTTTGCAAACATTCCCAGGTATTGAGATGGGGGCCGTGAGACCACACCTAAAGGCCTGGCCTGGTGCCAGCACTGATAACCCCGCCTGGGCATTGTTCATGGTTTATGGTCTCTGTAAAATGGGAGTACTTAAGTAAACCGGTCTTGCAAGACCAGATTGTGGAGAAAGGGGCAGTGACTTAATTATAGGTTATCAAGAATGTACATTAGGTTACTGGCACAGATTCAGATCGCTAGCCCCCGAAAAATGTCTCATTTTCCCCATCAATAGTAGTTTTATTCATAAATGACAAAAACTAGTAACAGACCAATGTTCTTGAAAAATGAGTAAATAAAGCAATCCTATTTATTCAACATTAAAACACTACTCAGCCATTAAAAGGAACAAATTAATGATACCTGAATTAACCTCAAATATTTTATGCTCAACTTAGACCAGCGGTTCTCAACCTGTGGGTTGTGACCCCTTTGGGGGTCAAACGACCCTTTCACAGGGGTCGCCTAAGCCCATCTGAAAACACATATATAATTACATATTGTTTTTGTGATGAATCACTATGCTTTAATTATGTTCAATTTGTAACAATGAAATTGGGGGTCACCACAACATGAGGAACTGTATTAAAGGGTGGCGGCATTAGGAAGGTTGAGAACCACTGACTTAGACCTAAAAATGTGTGTGTTTTTCTATTCTATCTTTATGATTTTCTTTTTTTTTTTCTTTATGATTTTCTGAGATGGTGAACCTATGGTGACAGAAAACAGGTCAGTGGTTATCAAGGTATGAATTCAAGTCATGGGGTTTATACAAATGCCTATAAGTAAACCTTGGGAGTATTGGACTTGTTGTGCATTTGATTGTGATGACAATTACATGACTATAAGTGCTTAGTAAAATTCAATGGAATTTAATGCTTAAAAATGGTGGATACCAATTATAATTAGGCTGCATTTTATTTATTTGCTTTTTTGTGTGTGATTTAATTTTTTTTCTTCAATTCTTTATTGCTGAAAGTATTACATATGTCTCCTTTTCTCCCCATTGACCCCCCCCCGGCCCTCCCATCCCCCATCACATGCCCCCCCCCCCCCCCACATTGTCTGGGTTGATCTTTTACCCCTTTTAAAATAGTGCAAGTAACATAGCCAAATCTAGCAATAGTGATTAAAAAGCTAAATTAGCCTGGCTGGTGTGTTCAGTGGTTGAGTGTCAGCCTATGAATCGGGAGGTTATGGTTTGATTCCTGGTCAGGGCACATGCCCGGTTTGTGGCTTGATCCCCAGTGTAGGAGGGAGCAGATCAAGAATTCTCCCTCATTATTGATGTTTCTACCTCTCCTTCTCCCTATCTCTCTAAAATCAATAAACAATATATATTTTTTAAAAAGCTAAATTATTGTATCTAGAAATTACAACTGAAGTGTTATAATCTTTTCTACTAAGATTTATGTGATC